TCCAGCTTCCCAGCAGTCAGCAGCCCCCGCCGAGCCAACAACCCCCTTCTAAGGGAAAGGAGAAAGCTAGTTCTTCTTCCCAGGCACCGAGGACAAAGAAGACCACAAAGGGCCCTTCGGTGTCGGAGGTGGACCATGCGCCGAAAAGGAGGCGCAAAGAGAAGACGTCAGTGGTAGAAACTTGGACGTCGACGGTCCTCATTCCTGATGTTAATGTTCCTCCGGTGCCGAAGGAACGCATGCTTATCCCGGGGGTAAAAATCATGGATTCCAATTTCCAAGTCTCGGATATCTCTGATGCCGAGATTGGGGCGATGCTGAAACTTCCCCCTCGCTTCTTCCTTGTCTTCCAGGCTCTATATGAGTCTTTTCTCGAGCCGCACTGGATTGCTGCCACTCAATCTTCTTTGGTTGATCGTCAGCGAAAGCAGATCTCTTTCCAAATTCACGTAAGACTTGATCGAGCTGCCTTTTATTTTTACTAATTTCGCCGCTTGTATTTTTATTTTTTGACCTCTAATTTTTTAGGGCCTAATCCTCGCCATTCTCAACCTTCTCGGCCTAGTTAAGGTTGAGGAGCGTGATAAGGAGATGGACAGCGTAGAGGCCAAGCTTAACTCTCTTCTCGATGATGCTAAGACTCAGTGCACGAATACAGCCGAGGAGAGAGATGTGGCTGTGGCCCAACTGAAGAGTTTGGAAGGTGAAATGGCCAAGCTAACTGCTACGGTTGAGGACCTTACAAAGCGGCAGATATGTCTGAGACGAAGTTGGCAGAAGCAACTGAGGCGGTGAAGAGATGTTTTGCTGAGGGAAAAGCTGAGGGGAAGAAGGAAGTCGAAGCCGAGGCTACAGCAATATTTGATGCTAAGCGTGCAGAGATTATTGAGGAGTTCAAGGCTTCTCCGGAGCTTATCGATATTCGTACCAAGGATTTTCATTCCGCTGGTCAACAAATCGTCGATTTGATAAAGCAAGAGCATCCTGAGTGGGATTTGAGCTTCCTTTATAATGCTCATCCTCCTGCTGGTGATGACAACTCTTCCGTGCCCGGTGATGGTGATGACTCGGCGGCTGGCGGCGAGGCCTGAATTTTTTTTTTTTTTTGCTGCCTGTAACTTATATGACATTGAATTTGACCTCTTTTTTATTTCATTTGTGTTTTCTAAAAAGACAGTAGATTTCATACATTGCTCATTGTTACTATGCATTCACCTCTCCCTCTTAAATGAGTCGTTGTTGACTTTACCCCTTGGGGTCGCTTGTCTTTAGAAAATTCCTTATAATTTTGCTATGTGTTCGCCTCTCCTCCTTGGAGGAGTCGACGCTGATTTCACCCCTTGGGGTTTTTGTCTTAGAAAATTCCTTATAATTTTGCTAAGTGTTCGCCTCTCCTCCTGGGAGGAGTCGACCCTGATTTCACCCCTTGGGGTTTTTGTCTTAGAAAATTTCTTAGAATTTTGTTAAGTGTTCACCTCTCCTCCTTGGAGGAGTCGACCCTGATTTCACCCCTTGGGGTCGTTGTGTCATTTTTTAGCGATCCGTGGACCTCTGCCCCCCATGTCTGTTTAATATACCTTAGTTTTTTAAGCGGACATGTTATTAAGGGGTGAATTCCTTTCCTGCTGCAAACATATCAATTTATTTAAACTGTGAAGAATGTACAATTGGGATGCGTAAGAATTACATACACTATTGGTAGTACAACCTTAGTTGTTCTGCATTCCATGGGTGTTGAATTCTCTTGCCGTTGAGGCTTTCCAAAATGTAGGTGCCAGGACACGTCACTTCCCTTATGCGGTAGGGCCTTTCCCAAGTTGGGCCCAGGGGACCGGTATTTTTGGGCTTTGTACTCTGCGTTACCCTTTTCAATACTAGGTCTCCTGGGACGAACTTTCTTTGTCGAACTCTCTTGTTGTAATATCGTGCTACTCTTTGCTGATAGGCGGCGAGACGTAGTTGGGAGTCGAGCATCTTTTCTTCCAACAAGTCGAGTTCTCCGTTCATGCCTTCTGCGTTATCATCGTCATTGTGGATGACGGTTCTTAGGGTCGGCGTTTCAATTTCCATAGGGAGTACGGCCTCGACGCCATACGCCATGGAGAATAGTGTTTCACCCGTAGTAGTTTGACTCACCGTTCTGTATGCCCATAAGACCTTGGGGAGTTCCTCGGCCCATTTCCCTTTGAGATTGTCAAGTCTCTTTTTTAGGGTATACTTCAATATTTTATTGACTGCCTCGACTTGCCCCATTAGATTGTGGATGGATCGGCGCCGAGAAGTCTTTTCGAATGCCCAGGCTATCGCAGAATCTGCGTGTTGAGGCATTGTCGAACTGTTTCCTATTGTCGGATACTATTGAGTATGGAACCCCGAACCTGCACACAATGTTGTTCCACATGAAGTTGGTGCAGGCTGTTTCTGTGGTTGTAGTCAGAGCCTTTGCCTCTGCCCACTTTGGATAGTAGTCTACTACGACGATGGCAAATTTAAAGCCTCCAGGTGCAAGGTGTAATGGCTCGATTAGGTCAACCCCCCATTTGGCGAAGGGCCATGGACTGAGAATGGAGGTTAAATTTTCTGGGGGTGCTCTAGGAATTGTGGCATACCTTTGACACTTATCGCAACGTCGGGCGTATTGGAAAACGTCATTTTTTAGCGTGGCCAATAGTATCCTTGCCTCAAAACCTTAAGAGCTAAATACTGCCCCCAGTATGATTACCGCAGACTCCTTCATGGATTTCTCGGAGGACCTTCTGGGCTTCGTCATCATCCAGGCACCGCTGTAGAGGTGTTGAATAGCCTCGTCGGTAAAGCAAACCGTCGTACAATAAGTATCTGGCGGCTCTATACCTGATCCGTCTGGCTTCGTCTTTATTGTTTGGCAGTTGTGCATCCATTAGGTATTGGATGAGTGGCGTCATCCAATTTTCACCTATTTGGACGATTAGTGCCTTAGCTATTTCCTCAATGGTCGGCCGCTTTAGTTCTTCGATAGGAACGACCCCTAGTGCGTCGAAATCTTTTGAAGATGCTAGCTTTGATAGAGCGTCGGCATTTGTGTTTTTGGCTCGTGGTATTTGAAGTATCTCGTAGTTTTTAAACTTGACGAGTTCTTCCTTCACCTTTCTCAAGTACGCACTCATTTTCTCGCCACGCGCTTGGTATTCTTCTTTCACTTACCCAACGACCAATTGAGAGTCGCTGAAGATGCTGAGCCTCTCAATCTTTAAATGACTGGCCAATTGCAACCCCGCAATCAGCGCCTCATATTCTGCCTCGTTGTTCGACGCCTTGAATTTAAATCGAACCGCCGAGGTGATCTTGTGTCCTTCTGGGCTGATCAACAAGACGTCGGCTCCTGACCCGTTATCGCTCGAAGCTCCATCCACGTAGAGCTTTCATTCTGTATTCTCAACTTCCTTTGGTGTGGCGGGAGCCGGTCTATGGGAGAATTCGGCCAGAAAATCGGCCAGCACTTGGCCCTTGATCGCGGTTCTTGGTACATACTTAATGTCGAACTAGCTTAACTCTACCGACCATTTGAGAAATTGACCAGAAGTTTCAAGTTTTTGTAGCGCTTGTCTAAACGGGTGGTTTGTGAGAACCCGTATTGTGTGAGATTGAAAATAGTGCCGAAGCTTCCTTGAAGCTACCATCAGGGCAAGGGCCAAGCGTTCCATTTCATCATATCTTGACTCGGCGTCGAGGAGTCTTTTGCTCACATAGTAAATTAACAACTGTACCCTTTCTTCTTCTCTTATTAGTACGAAGCTTACGGCATGTTGGGACACGGAGAGGTATAGGCTAAGCTCCTCATCGGGGTTAGGCTTTGACAGGATTGGGGGCTTGCCCAAATGCTCATTCAATTTCTAGAAGGCCTCTTCACATTATGGTGTCCACTCAAAACACCTACTCCCTTTCAAAGCATTGAAGAAAGGGACGCACTTATCTGTTGCTTTTGATATAAATCTGTTTAGGGCGGCGACGCATCCTGTCAACCTTTGCACCTCTTTCAGTTTAGTTGGAGACCGCATATCTTGCAGGCCTTTAATCTTTTCAGGGTTAGTTTCTATCCCCCGGTTGCTGACCATGAAACCAAGGAATTTCCCTGACCCAACTCTAAATGCGCATTTTTGGGGATTTAGTTTCATGTGGTATTTTCTTAGTACACCAAACATTTCACCCAGATGGTCGACGTGTTGGTTGGCCCTGGCACTTTTCACAAGCATATCATCGACGTAGACCTCCATTGATTTGCCGAGCTGTCGAGCGAACATCTTATTCATGAGCCTTTGGTAGGCAGCCCTCGCATTCTTTAAGCAAAAAGGCATTACCTTGTAGCAGTAAAGGCCCCTGTCGGTTATGAAGGATGTGTGCTCCTCGTCGGCTGGATGCATGGGGATCTGGTAGTACCCGGAGTAGGCATTCATAAAACTCAGCATTTCATGTCCTGTTGTGGCGTCGACCATCTGGTCTATTTGAGGGAGTGGAAAGCCGTCCTTCGGGTAGGCTTTGTTGAGATCCCTGAAGTCGACACATGTTCTCCAGCTTTCGTTAGGCTTTACCACCAAAACGGGGTTCGAGACCCAACGTGGGTAATGGGCCTCCCTGATGAACCCATTGTTGATCAACTTGTCGACCTCCTCCTTCAGCGCCTCATACCTCTCTAGGTTCATTAGTCGACGCTTATGGCGCTTAGGAGGATATGAGGGATCAACTTTCAGGGAGTGACATATAACCTCGGCGTTGATCCCTTCCATGTCAGCATGATTCCAGGCGAAGACATCTAAGTTCTTTTTGAGGAAGTCTTTGACCTCAATCTTAAGTGATGGGGCTAGGCCTGAGCCCATTTTTAGCACTTTGGTTGGCTCACCCTCATCAACTCGGATCTCCACCAATTGCTCGATGGGTTGGGACCACGTGACATCTTCTTGAACCCTGGGGTCTATGTCTTCAACGGTGTTTTGATAGACCATCCTGGCCTCCTATCGCCTTGGCTAGTCGTATCCGCGCAGGGCATCGGAGTATGCAACCCTAGCCTCATACTGGTTGCTCTTCATCTCACCTACGCCGTTTGGGGTAGGGAACTTGACCTTCTGGTGGTAGACGGAGATTATTGCCCTCAGCGCCTGAAGGGTCGGTCTCCCGATTACGGCATTGTACTGAGAGCCTCCCTTTATTACCACAAAGCTGGCCATTGTCGTGGTCTGTTGGGGTTTTTCTCTGGCGGTTATGGGCAGCCGGATAGTCCCCTGAGGGATGACGGAGTCCCCGGTGAAACCGTATAATGGCCTGGAGGTCTTCTCCAACTGCTCCTTTTGGATCCCAATCTTTTCCAAGCAGTCGGAGTACAGGAGGTCCACCGAACTCCCATTGTCTACCAAGATTCGGCATACAGTGTGGTTCCCAATCATGGCTTCCACTACTAACGCGTCGTTGTGGGGGAAGTGAACTCCGCTGGCGTCGTCCTCATTAAACGCCACGTCGGTACTGCTATATCTTGGGGTTTTTACAGCAGAGACACTCCATAATCTTTCCTGGTAAACCCCTCTGGCTTCGTGGGCGTAGTCCTTCTGAGATCTTCTTGAGTCTCCTCCTATATAGGGGCCGCCGAGGACAGTTCGTATGACGCCGACAGGTTCTCGGTCTTCTGGGCGCTGGTTCTCCTCTCAGCTTCGACCGTCATTCTGCCCACCGTGGCCATCGTTTCGAGGTCTCCGCTCAGCTTTGAACTCCTGCAGCTTCCCCTCGCGGATTACTCTCTCAATTTCATCCTTGAGGTCGGCGCAATCATTGGTGTGGTGGCCGACATCGCCGTGGAACCTGCAGAATTTCTTCTGGTTCCTTCGGCTAGGATCTGTCCTCATCGGCTCTGGGCGGCGTAGCAGATTTTCGCGGCCGACCTGATTGAAGACCTCCTCGACTCCTACTGTTAGTTCGTGGTAGAAATCGTACCTTTGAAACAGCGGAGGCTTACAGTTCTCCTCTTGCCTTGGCTTCTTGGCTTCCGGAGCATTCGACGTCGCAGCTGGCTGCTTGTCTCCGCTTCCTTCACCTCGATGCTTCTTCCCATCCTGCTTTGCTGGCGTCGACCCTTGTTCGGTCCCTTTGTTCTTGTTGGACCTGTGCTCGGGGTCGTTTGCGTCTGCCTCCTCGGCGTTGATGTATCCTTGCGCTCGCGCAAGAAATTCCTTGTAGCTGGACGGGGGCTTTCGGTTCAGCTCTCTCTTGAAGGGGGTAATTTTCTTCATGCTAGATAATGCCCCCATCAAGGCCTCTCTGTCAGTAATATCCATTGTGGCGGCGACAGCTTCCCCATACCTTGCAAGCCATTTTCTCAATGACTCATTCGGCTTCTAGTATATCGTCGTCAGGTTCTGATTTGGGGGGACATATTTTTTAGCCTCTATGAATTGGAGGGAAAATGCTTCCTTCAACTCATCCCAACTTGAGATAGAATTTGACCTCAGCGTCCGGAACCAACTTCGGGCAGAATCCGTTAAATGGTTCCGGAAGGCTCGGCACATAATTTTCTCGGCATACCCGTGTAAGAGCATGTGCCCTATGTACATCTCTAAATGATCGTCGGGATCCCCCCGACCAACATATAGTGGGATCGACGGCGACCTGTATTTGTCGGGGAGAGGTGGCGCCATTATCTCTTCGGTAAATAGGTGGTCATGTGTGCGGCTAGGTGTGATGTCGACGTTTACCACCTCAGCCACTCGCCCTATGTTCTTTTTCAGGCCTGCTACGTCCCCTGTGAGTTTTTGCTCCAGGCTGGCCATACGTTCCATGATGGCGCGTGCTTCCTTTGTTGAGATGGCCGAGCCAGCTACTCTCGACGCCTCTGCCCTTTGACCGTTGGGTCCCCCTCTTGCCTGCCCGCCTGCCTGTACTAACCCTGAGTCTCCCGGTGGGTTTCTTCCTGGGTTCTGGGGTAGTACCTCGGGGTTTCCCAGGCCTCTTGGTATCTGGTCCTCGGGAGCCCGGAGTCCAGCGGCCCTTAAACGGCCGCCGAAGGATTGGGAATGTCGCGGTAGGTCCCAGCGGGCCCGGGGCGTCTTCTAAAGGTGGCATTGAGTTTCTTCCATCCAAGCGTTCGGCCACGGTCATTAGTCCACGTATCAGATCAGTTAAAGTGGCTAGTTGGGCCTGCATCTGTACAGGATCCGGCCGCGGCACGTCTGGGGGCGGGACTTCGTTTCTGACTGGGGGTGGACCTTCCTCCATCCCGTCATTCATTGGATGAATGGCGGTCTCGTCCATCTGGCTGTCTTGGTTGATGGCCTCAATTCTTCTTCTTGGAGGCATGCTTGCTGACTATGTTGTTGTTGGGGGTCAAACGCATTCCTCCCCAGCGGAGTCGCCAATTGTTGACGGTGAATTTTCGTCAACAAAAACAGGCCGGGTTACCTCTAGGTTTCCCGTCGGATTACCGGCTTTAATATAGGTTATATGTAAGAGTTTTGTGCCGAAGGTGTTTGATGTTCTTAGAGGGATGAGCAATTTGGAAGAATAATACTTTAAAGTAAAGGAACACAAGAGATTTTATAATGGTTCACTCTATAAAATCAGAACTACATCCACTGTGGTTGTATATTCCTTTTGAGGTGATAACAATTTACATTAATTACTCTCTTGTTCTTTTTTCTCTTTTTTAGACGTGAACCCCTCTTCTGTATGGGGCTTTGCCTCTTTTATATTGGAGCTTCCTTCGCTGGGTGGGTTTCTTTTTTTGGCAAAAGCACTCAAGTGCTTTTCCTTTTTAGGCCCAGACATAGCCCATTAATCACTTGGAGTACTGTTCACTCAGCTAATTAGTCTCATATTACGGCTCTGTGCGTATCTGTAACCATTTTCTGTCCCCCGTGGGACGGTTTAAGGGTTTACAATTAATGCCTGCATTGCAGACATCTCCCATTACTGTACACAACTTTTCACGTCAGGCTTTCTCCCAAGGAGCATTCCCTTCGTCGCCAGTGTTGTTTAGCCTAATTGTCCTTCTTGGCGGTGGATCTTATGACGAGGGATTTCTATATTGTAAGGTCGACGGTATGACCTGTCGACGTCAGATGAAATCGACGCCCTAAGTTAGACTTCTTACTTAGGCTCTTCGTGACGGAATAGAAAGGAGTCTCAAACGTCGAGAGTTATTGTTTTACGAGAAGATATTAAGATCACGTACCATATTGTCATTTCTACACGCGTCCTCCACATTTTCCTCCCAATATAAAATCTCCAAAAATCTTGCTTAGCTTCAACGCAAAAGCATGGAGCCCTCGACACCTCCCCAAGATCTCGAGGAGTATTCGGCGTCCTCGACGACCATCGTCTTCGACCGGTTGGTTCCCTTGCTCCGCGGCCCGGTCCGGTCCGGTCCGGGCGACGACCCGTCGGCGGGTCCGTACGTCCTCGCTTTTCGAGACGCAAGGGCTTGGCGAAACGCGTACAGAGCCTGCGAGTCTAAGATTGCGGAGCAGTGCGAGGCCGGAGCGAGGATCGGGTGCGCGATGACGGCGTCGAGCAAGTGCAAGCCTCCGTGGTGGCGGTCGCTGAGTGGTTTTAAGGTTTCGGATCTGAAGGAGAGAGAGGAGTGCGAGGAGAGGGAGATGGAGGGCTGTTTGGCGGCGGCGAAGGACAAGTGCGGTGGTTTCGCGAGAGAGAGGTGCGTGAAGTCGTTTAGGGATGCCAGGATCGCGGCTAGGGTTGGGGGTTTGAGTCCAAAGCAGGCTGAGAAGTTGGTTTGTTGGACGATTATGGCCGATAAAAGTTTGTGGATCGATTTGGTCGGATTTAAGCGTTTGGTTCGCTTGGGATTGTCCGATAGAGAGTTCGGAGCGACTAATTATAGGGCGTGTGAATTGCTTGGCTCTAGTACTGATGTTGATTCTATTTTGGGTGGAGCTAGCGAAGTTGTGAGATTCTAATCACTGGAGCTTATAGTTCGTTTGGTTTGAAAGGAAATTAGCGAGAAAGTAGAATTAGAAGCTTTTGGAATCTGCGCTAGGACAATCTACACTTAGAACTGGTGCTTCTTTTGGCAGCCATTGCAAGAGGTATGTATAATTCAACTTTTGCTTTGCAATTTAGCACGTGGAAGCAATAGAGAAGACGCAGAGAACATTGATTTTGATAATATGATGATGATGATTTAACTTGTTTCAGCATGATTACTATATCAAACAAGTTTCGTTTGAATTTCAATAGGTAGGTTCTGTACGTTCATATAATGTTAGGATCCGTTAACTTGGGAACTTATTTGGTTAGTGAGCTGGTAGAGTTAGTAGGAATTAGTATAAATAAAAGGCTTAGTAGCTCACTAGAAGGATGTTGTGATTTTGAGAGTTTTGAGAGACTGAGATTAAGGAGAGCGGTGGTCTCTCAAATACTACCAAATTAGGAGTTCCTGGAATATTCGAATTCTCCGTTCTATCCTTTACTTTTCCGTTTAGTAGTGTTTGGTAGTGTAATTGGAGATTGGCTAGTGATTTTCAATAAAAGAATTCCCTTATTTCTATTCAATTCCTTGTCAATTTCAGGATTGATATGTGTATGTTTGGCTGTGAAAAACCTACGTTCCTAACAATTTGGTATCAAAGCTCCGATCCATGGCGCCTGAACGAGTGGATCCGGAGAGGGTGACCACGGTGGAAAAGGGGCTGGCGGTGGTTCAGGAAGCGGTCTACGCGGTGGTGACTGAGAATCTTCCACAGATTCGAGAAGAAGTGGCTGGGCTGCGTGGTGAACTAGGGGAGGTTTGGACTGAAGACGTGCAGGCGGCGCTGTGGAGGATGGAGGCACTGTTGGCGGCGCAGCCGATGGCCGGGGTGGCCGATTTGGGTCGCGACGGCGAGCGACGGGACGGGGAGAGGCGAGATCGCGTGCCTCGGGGAGAGGAGAGCCCAGATCGCGACGACCCAGGCGGAGTGGAGGTGCCAAATCAGGCGGATCTTCGCCGGGAAGCGCCGATTCGCGAAGATTGAGGCCACGAGAGGGAGTTCCGACGCCGGAGAGACGTGGGTCTCATGGAGGAGCGCGAGATCTGTTGCGATCTGGGGCTGGGTGGTCTAGATCTGCAGCGTGACGGTTTGTTTGATGACGGGAGGAGGGCGGAAGGAGGTTGCGACCGTCGGGAGAGGGAGGCGGAGCTTGGTCGGCGACGGGAACCGGAGTGGGAGCCGGAATTAGAGGAGGAGAGGCTTGCTCCGGGGCTGGGACGGCATGGGTACCCTCAGAACAGGGAACCCAGCCCTGATTCGGTCGCGGTTGGGGCTGATTCCGGCCCGGTTTGGACCGGGCCTCGCGATTCCGGTTCGTTTGAGGCTAATTTCGGCCGAATTCAAACTGGGTCACTCGAGTTCGGCCTGATTTGGGAGGATTCCGGCGAAATTAGGGATGGGTCTCGAAATTCCGGCGGCCCTAGGTCTGGGTTTTGTGATTCTGATGTGATTGAGACTGATTTCGATGATGTTAGGGTTGGGCCTCGAACTTACAGCAAGATTAGAGCCAATTACAACCAAATATGGACTGGATCTTCAAGTTTTGGCATGACTGGGGTTAGGTCTGGGCAATCTGAGTTGGGTGAGGGAGATTGGGTTTTGCAAATCTGATTTGAGAGAGCGAGTTGGGTCTTCTCGATTTGGAGTCAGAACCAATCCAAGGGTTTCGAGTAGGAAGATGGGAAGGTGGCACGACACCCTATGGGAGGGCCGAACGGATCAACGATTAGGCGTTCCTAGAGTACTCGAATTCTCCGTTCTATCCTTTACTTTTCCATTTAGTAGTGTTTTGTAGTGTAATTGGAGATTGGCCAGCGGTTTTCAATAAAAGAATTCCCTTATTTCAATCCAATTCCTTGTCAATTTCAGGATTGATATGTGTATGTTTGGCTGTGGAAAACCTAGGTTCCTAACATATATACCTTTAGAATTGAAAATTTGATGCAAACCAATTGATAATTATAGAAGATTAATTTCAATATGTTAATGTGCATTTGTAACCAAACAATTTCTGTATTATTATCGCGTTCAACTTGCATCATTGATCACCCTTTGTGATTTGAGAGTTCCCTAGTGCTATGTGCTTTTGTTTGTCCAATGTTTTGCTTGTGTATGCCGTGTCTTGTATTTCCTTGCCCCGTGTTAGCAGTCACAGCGAACTTTTTTCTTTGCATGACCGTCATATGTAGACGATAATGAAAAAATATAGACTAACATCATGCCTTTTATTCTCTCTCTCTCTCTGAATACATATGGCCGATTGTATGAGCCTGACAAACAGCACTATGGTGGATGGACCGGGACATGCATACCATCATCATGTTGTCTATCGTTTCCTTCATCCTCGTCACTAGAATAATATTCGTTGCAAATTTAAAAGACATTTCTTGACTTACTGAATCAATGATGATGTTTGTCTTTTCTTTAACTATGCTGGAGTCTATTTTACAAATTTGTCTACCACACTTTTGATGTAGCTATTCTTCGGCGGCAGTTGGATGCTTGATTCATAATGTTGCCACTGCTAATTCTTCTCAACTCTTTGCTTTTCTCATTGCAACTGACATCTATTATGCTCTATATATAAACAGCGACCTATCTGATATCTGTTCCCCAATTGGATACAACTATTTCTGGTAACTCTTCAACATGGATTTGATTACTAGGTCTAACACGTTACAGAAGCTGTCAAAATGGATTATTTACTAGATATACAACACGTTGAGGAAGCCTTCAAAATGGATTTGTTTACTAGATATATAATAGGTCAAGGATATCTGCTTAAACAACAATCTCTGTTTGAGGACGATGTGTTATGATATAGTTACATTGCTGAAGAAAAATTCATCTAGATGTCAATTTATTTGTTTAATTTCTACACAATTTGGTTTGCTGAAATATTCCAAGTAAAGAGACACTGGTTATCCCCTGCTCTATGGTTAAAGTAGGTTATTTTAAGGAGTTTCAAGCCATACTCAGAACATGGGAGAATGGAAGAAGTTACCTACGCAACTCTGTTACTATGATTTTAAGTTAACATTCACGTATGTTTATCCATTTATTTATTTATGAATATTCTATCTGTAGAAAGTATTGTTGATAGGTTGTACTAATGGGAATATGGTTTCCCTGTGAAATTTTCTATCTACATAGTGCATGTAGGTTTTATTTTATTTATTTTGTGAAGCTATTACAGTTACTTGATTGGTTAAAAGAAGTCTAGACAGATGACATCAGGATTTGCTGCTCCTTGTTTGATTTGAAGGGCATATATACTGATTAGTTGATATTTTGCATGTTGGTTGAGCCTAATCTGTAAATAGGTTGTCTTTAGCTCAAATTTGAAGTAGCAAGTTGAATCAGATGATACTGTAGGTTTGTCTTTGGTTGAGTTTTAGCACAAGTGCTTTGATTTATTCTGTCGCTGGATGTTGATGAGAGCAGACAGATATAGCTTGTAGTTGCACAAGTCATCTATCATCCCAAATCCCTTTAGGATAGGAAATTTAGGATGGATGGTTGCTTAACAAATACTATCTTTTTTGCCCCGTGCACTTGGAATGCATCCATCTAACAGTTATGTAACCTGATGAACAGGGTTAGATTATATTACGAAACTTGCAACCCTCTGCACATAGTTCTGCATGGGCTGAATGAACCCAACTCACTTTAAGGGCTAGGTCGGGCCACATAGAAAGCTCCCAATTTATTCGCTTAAAGAATCTCTAATAGCTAGTCAATCCCTTGTACCATTTTATAATACCAACAAGTAGTTGGTCCTCATTCGATTTCCTTGCAACATCATCTTTCTATTTATTTAGTACGTGAAATGAAGAAGTATTCTCTTTCTTTTGTAAACCCGAATAACATTACCAAATTATATTACCTTTAAGAGGATGTAAGCTCTACATAATTGACGGCTTTTAATCCAGGACTAGGAGTTATGTTAGACGGCTAGAGGGTTAGGTAAGAGTTAGTATTGATCGCATGATTGAAAAATGTGTTCCATTGCATAGTCTTTTTGGTCATCCATCGTGTTTCAAGTGTTTTTTTTCCCTTTTTTCTTTTTCCCCTTCTCCCATGACACTTTTTTGAAGGTTCCAATGTCTTTTACAATATTTTTGGTAGGAAGCATAGATAAAATGATGGAGAAAAAACTTAAAGAGAGAGAAAATTAGAATGATAGAAAGGATATTAGTTTTCCTTGTTGTTTGGTAGATAAGAAGGAAAGAAAATGATAGATTTGTACAATTACTAACCTCTTTTCTATCTACCAAACATAGCATTAGCAATCAATGTATAGAGTCCTCTCTCTCTCGCTGTTTTTTTTTTTGATGAAAAGTGCTATATATATCACTAATACAACCACACATAAGTGGCAGTTAAAGTGGGGCCGAGTTCTTTTATTTTTTTTACCATGTGATAGTTCAATTTTACTTGCTACATACATGTCTGGTGATGTATCACGAGCGATGACGAATAGTTGCTTTTGGATAAATAATGTTGGGAACTCTAATCTCAATTTTTTATACCAACTATGAGTTATCATTTTTTTATTAGTAGGTATTTAAAAGATTGTTATATTGATTAATAATAAATAATTGCATTTGCCATTGAAAAGATGATATTCAAAGTTGGTACAAAAAAATGAGATTTGTTATGAATAGTAGTTGTTAATCTCAGTTAAAGTTACTGTGCAAGTCAGTCAAAATTACTGTTCATGTCAGAATTTTACTGTGCAAATAGTAACTGAAAATAGTAAGTACTTTACAAATAGTAACTGTAAATGGCGTTGAAACTTTTCTTATAAATAGAGTTCTAAAGCTTTTCATTTTGTATACCTTCACAAGATTAATTAAATTCTCTCCTTAAAATTTTTCTTCTTAGTTTTCATAACAGGATTAGAATTGATGTCCTTAGCACTACTCCTTTTTGGATGGGTGATTCTTGTGTGCTATTGCTTGATCATATTTGGCTAGGACTTTGCCATACTAGATACCCACCCATTACTAAGTAATTAATTAGAAGAGTTTTACCAAACGGGTAGTATGAAAATGAAGCCTTGTCTTTTACTGATCTCTGAATGTATGTATGTTAAAAATCCGTTGGCTCTGATCAATGGGGAAATGCTGAGCCATTTCCACTGAACTCAAGAGGTACTTTGTGTGGAAAAGCTCATTAATTAGAATCATTTGGTCGTCTCCTAGACTTCTATGAACATATAATTCCAATATTCCTATTGAGTGGAGATTGGGATGAAGACTCATCTCTGGATCCTTAACTTATATGTCAAGTTTGCTTGTCACTTTATATTCTCGATGCACGTATAAAGCCAAAAGGAAGCTTGAAATTTCTGCCAACTTGCCGAACGCAAATTGATTTTAAAGCATTTTGTGGTGAAAAAATCGCACATGGATTAGTCATGTGCTGTGCTGTAGTCACTTTCAGGGTCAAAGCGCACACGTCTCAGACGCGGTTTTGCTTTTAGTTATCCAGTTGGAGTGAACTCGTGAAGTTGCTAGGAAATTTCCTTGACGGCCTAAAGACGACTTTAATTCGCAACATTGGTTTTTTCAATGTCGTGTAATGATATAGTTATTGCTGCGTGTCTTTCGTCTCATATAAGTTTAGATCCCGTTCACTTTGTTGATTTGAATTTAGAATTCGAGTTTTTTTACAGTAAAAAACTCTCACAAACAATCACATCTACTTTTTTTGCTACAGTAAAAAGCTCTCACATAGAATCACATTTCAACTCGAATTCTAAACTCGAATCAGCGAAGTGAACAGAGCCTTTAGTTCCTTCTTCCGTCTTTTTTTTTTTATTTTTTGTTTTTTTGTGGGTGTTGTGTCCAACGTATATGATACAGACATTATAGCATCATTAAACAATATGGATGATCCTTGATGACGTGTTTTGCCGACGACAATTCCACACCAGCCCACAAGCTTCTACCCTTAAAAAGCAAAATAAATCAAAATACGCCAACCATTTTTTTCCCCGTTAGGAAGTTGTTCCCATAGAAACGGGAAGGTGACCAATCAAATTGCTGCTACTGGAGTTGGACCGCTAGGAGCAAATAAATATTACCCGGAGACTTGCAATATAGGCTGTTCATAGGCATGGTTCCTACGGCGTGATTAATGCTGATTTGATTCAGTAGACGCACGCTGATTAATAGTCAAAGATAAATGAGTCAGCTATTCGGTGCTAATAAATGTATAGTATTTGGACAAAGATTGCTTTGAAAATCAATAGTAAAAACAGGCAGGAGTTTTAGAATATTATTCTGGGCTAGCCTGCCCAAGTGAAAATCTGTGCAGTGATTCTTAGGACACATTTAGAACTCGTTTTAAAATAATTTTATTTTATTATATGAAAATAAAAATGAAAATATTGTTAATTTTAAATAGAAATTATTTTTAAAAATGCGTTTGATAATTTTATTAAGAGATTATTTTTAATGTAAAAAAATTCATTAATATTTCTCTTTCTCTTTGCTCAAAAGAGGAGAAAATAAAAATAAAAAATAAAAAATGATTAAAATTTATTTTTTTATTTCTCTTTTATTTTATATTAAATTAAAAAATTATTTTTATTTTTATTTTTATTTTTATTTTTTATTTTTATTATGTTAAATGTCGTTTTAAAAACGTTTTTATTTTTTTTTCTTAAAAAACATAAAAAATAAAAATGAGATTAATTTCAAACACGACCGTTGAAACTATTTGGCAGCTCCTCTTGGTTTTCTTCATACTGGCCCATAATAGTCGACGCCTTTAAGAGTTGGCGGCCTTAGGCCCCGTTCATTTCGCTGATTCGAGTTTAGAATTCGAGTTTTGCTACAGTAAAAAGCTCTCAGAAGCAGTCACATTTAACTTTTTTGTTACAGTAAAAAGCTCTCACACAACATCACATCTCAACTCGAATAAAAACTCGAATTAGCGAACTGAACGGCTCTCAGTATTCTAGCCAAAATTATGTTTTGCCGCCCAAAAAGGAGGGGAAAAAAAAGAGGATTCAATTTAGGAGACGTTTGGTTCATGGATTAGAATCATGAGATTAGAATTATTTTTTATTTACGTATATTTTTTGTGAGAAAAAATACTGTAACGAACCATGAACTATGATTCGAATGGGGGTACGAATTTTCCAACCAAACAACCTCTTATTGTGAAGACTTGATTTACGTGTGAATTACTTGTGTCCGCGTCCGGCTTGGACGGCATTTTTTACTAAATATCTTTTGAGCTTGACAATGAGGACCACTAGTACGGACTAATTTGGCTGATTAACTAACAATTATTTTTTGGTAATTTAGCTACCACCCACCAACGAAAATCAAAATCACGTGCAAAGGCGTACCGGCATCCTTTTTGGTGCTTTTCTTTTTATAACTTATTTGTTTTTTTATTTTTTTTGATAATGCACAAATATTGGAAGTTTCCTAGGAATTTCAAAAACTATAAGCCAGCTCGTGTTGGAAGGTACAAGTTATCATTGTAGTTATGGTAATTCGTTGTACCCTTGTCGGGAAGTTTTGATAAGCTCTCGCCTCCGGAGCACTACGTTTCATTTTAGGAGTAGCGTCGGTGCTAAGGATTTCTAGAATAAGTTAAGATGGAAAATCTGCACCATATTTTGTACATAATTATTTTGTACACTAATAAAAGAGGTGACGACAGAAAAACTAATAAAGTGAGGAAATAAGTGTAGTATATCTCATCTTATACAAGAAACCTCCTTCAAATCCGTGACCCCAAAAACGGAGCGTTACAAGTAACAACATTTCAACAATTTCGAATAAAATAAGGAAATGTGTACCCGTTAGCTACTAGCTTGTCATATGGCCATTAGACTGTCAGAGCCGAAATTCGCTCAAATCCCACAAGCAAATGGAAGCTCTCCATCCTTTTAAAATGTGGCCCATGACTTTTGACCAAATAGAGAGAGAGAGAGAGAGAGAGCAACTTTGCAAGTTGCTCACGAATAACGTTGCCGTCACCGCCACAATTTTTCTATATAATGTATAGATTCCAAGAAACTTGAATGAACGCTCTTTCTTTGCAACTGCTTTCTCCCCATTCAATAACAAAGCTAAGAACCATGTCAAGCGTAGACAATTCACGTATTGCGTATGGCAAATTTATCATTGAAATTACTAGAGCACAGATGCGATGGCGCATGGCCTTTAGAGCTCTCCATTTTGTCCGAATCATGCTGTCGCTTCCCAAACAGATAATCCTAGCCGAGTCAAACAAATACAATAGCCTTTCGGAGGCCTTGCTCTCTCAATCGTACCCCGACATAGTAGCGGAACCAAACACTAGTTCACAACACCATGAACACATTAAGACTTTCGGTGACGACAAAATTTTTGTCCCCGAAGTTGACCACCATGTCCTCACGGAAATGGTTAAAGAAAAAGACTTGGTATCCCTCCGCAGCCTCGGCGGAGTCGGAGGAATCGCTAAATCCCTCGGTACCAACCCTGAGAACGGAATCACAGACAACGACCAAGACGTCAATAAAAAGCGTGACATGTTCGGCTCAAATACATACCACAAGCCACCTCCAAAAGGCTTGTTTTACTTCGTGGTGGACGCTCTGAAGGACACCACAATTCTGATCCTCCTAGTCTGCGCTGCTCTCTCTCTTGGGTTCGGCATCAAAGAGCACGGCGCAAAGGAAGGTTGGTACGAAGGCGGCAGCATCATCATCGCGGTGCTTCTGGTGATCATTGGCTCAGCTCTCAGCAACTTCAGACAAGAGACTCAGTTCGACAAGCTCTCGAAAATAAGCGACGACATCAAAATCGACGTCGTAAGAAGCGGAAGGAGGCAAGAGATCTCCATCTTCGACATCGTAGTAGGAGACGTTGTCTTACTCAACATAGGCGATCAAATTCCAGCCGATGGCCTATTCTTAAGCGGTCATTCTCTGCTCGTTGACGAGTCAAGCATGACCGGAGAAAGTGATCACATCGAGATCGATTCCAACACGCACCCTTTCTTGTTCTCGGGCTCGAAGGTCGCCGACGGCTACGGGAAGATGTTGGTGACGTCCGTGGGGATGAACACGGCATGGGGGGAGATGATGAGCTCAATAACCCGCGACACGAACGAGAGGACGCCATTGCAAGCTCGCCTCGATAAGCTGACGTCTTCAATTGGGAAGGTAGGCCTTACGGTTGCTTCTCTAGTTCTTGTAGTCATGTTAGTTCGTTATTTCACTGGAAACACGACGGACGACAATGGAAATAGGGAGTACAACGGTAGTAAAACCAGCGTAGACGATATTTTGAACTCAGTGGTGAACATCGTCGCTGCGGCGGTGACCATCGTCGTGGTGGCGATACCGGAAGGATTGCCCTTGGCCGTGACGCTAACTCTGGCCTATTCTATGAAGAGAATGATGGCTGACCATGCTATGGTGAGGAAACTATCTGCTTGCGAGACTATGGGCTCCGCAACTATAATTTGCACAGATAAAACAGGTACTTTAACATTAAACCAGATGAAAGTTACTAAATTTTGTCTCGGTCAAGAACAAATAGGAGAAGATTCTTCTAACGAAATTGCGACGAATGTTCGTGAAATGTTCTACCAAGGAGTTGGTTTGAATACTACTGGAAGTGTTTATAAGCCTGATCAGTCCGGTTCTGAACCTGAATTTTCTGGCAGTCCAACGGAGAAAGCTATACTTTCCTGGGCTGTTTTGAATTTAGGTATGGACACGGAGAAGTTGAAGCGTAAATACGAGATTCTACATGTCGAAACGTTTAATTCGGAGAAGAAACGAAGTGGGGTTATGTTGAGAGAAAATGTTAACAACAACATTTATGTTCACTGGAAAGGAGCTGCTGAGATTTTAGTGGCAATGTGCTCAAGTTATTATGAAAGTAATGGGATTAAAAAGTCTCTAGATGAAGACGTAAGGAAAAGAATTGGGAAAATAATTGAAGGCATGGCAGCTAGCAGCCTTAGATGTATTGCTTTCGTGCAATGCCAAGTTTCAGAAGAGGAAATGGAGTACAGTGATGAAGAAAAGACTCACAAAAAGCTCAAAGAAGAAGGCTTGGCATTGCTCGGCATAGTCGGACTCAAAGACCCATGTCGACCGGGTGTCATGAAAGCTGTCGAAGCTTGCAAATCTGCCGGGGTGGCCATAAAAATGATCACCGGAGACAATGTCTTCACGGCCAAAGCTATAGCCGTGGAGTGTGGAATTCTGGAGCACAGAGATCAAGCCAGCAGCGATGGGGAAGTTGTCGAAGGTGTCGAATTCAGAAACTACACAGAAGAAGAGAGAATGAAGAGGATTGACAACATAAAAGTGATGGCAAGGTCATCACCCTTTGACAAGCTATTGATGGTGCAGTGTCTGAAACAAAAAGGACATGTTGTCGCGGTCACTGGAGACGGGACCAACGATGCGCCTGCGCTTAAAGAAGCCGACATAGGGCTCTCCATGGGTATCCAAGGCACCGAGGTGGCAAAAGAGAGCTCCGACATAGTCATCTTGGATGACAACTTCACCTCCGTGGCCACGGTCTTAAGGTGGGGCAGATGCGTTTACAACAACATACAAAAGTTCATCCAATTTCAACTGACTGTGAACGTCGCAGCACTAGTGATCAACTTCGTCGCTGCGGTTTCAGCCGGGGAAGTTCCTCTGACGACGGTTCAGCTTCTGTGGGTGAACCTGATCATGGACACATTAGGCGCACTGGCTCTGGCCACAGAGAGGCCTAGTGATGAGCTAATGAAGAAGCCGCCTGTTGGGCGGACAGCGCCTTTAATAACAAATGTTATGTGGAGGAATCTACTAGCTCAATCGATGTTCCAAATAGCAATACTCTTGATCTTACAATTCAATGGTGAGTCCATGTTTAATGTGACTGAGGAGGTAAATAACACCCTTATTTTCAACATTTTTGTGCTTTCCCAAGTCTTCAACGAGTTCAATGCTAGGAGTACGGAGAAGAAGAATGTGTTCAAAGGGATTCATAGGAATAGACTGTTCATGGGAATTGTGGGGGTAACTCTTGTTCTTCAAGTGATAATGGTTGAGTTTTTGAAGAAGTTTGCAGACACAACGAACCTGAACTGGAAGGAGTGGTTGGGATGTATTGGTGTGGCGTCTCTGACATGGCCACTTGGCTGGTTTGTGAAGTCGATTCCGGTCTCGGACGAGCCACCTCTTCTTGATTATCTAAAGAGCTCGGTGTTTAAATTTACAAGGATTACCAAGATCTTTCGGAGAACAGAAAATTCTACCTCAAGACTTGGACTTAGATGTGGGAAATGTTAAGTTGAAAAGGTACTATTGTCCGTAGAAAAAGGGTAACAAAGGGTATGTTCTTCAATTTCTCTCTCGGATGCAGCGGCAAACGCTCCTAATAACTTCGATGGCTCTGCCGGCAGGCTGGATCAGGATTTACTCGGATGCCGATGTTGGCTCCATTGACTCAACCCTCGCAGTAGTGGCTTGTGACACATCGGGGGATGTTGTCCTCCCCCGAACCGAGAGGTCCTCTGCTACCGATCCTCTGGTTGCGGAAGCTTTAGCTCTTCGACTTGGTCTTGTCATGGCTTGTTACTGAGGGTGGGATGCTATCGTCTGTGAAAGCGATCACGCCCTTGCTGTCTCCGGCCTTAATTCCCCCCTTGACAGGTGTAACCGGAGGCTGAACTTCTTGAAGGATGAAGTTGACAACCTATGAAGCAAACTTACTGATTCCTCGAGACCTTAATTTTGCAGCCCACAATATGGCTGTGGTCGAGAGTATAAACACTTACCGGACTTTTGATACAAGTTTGATCACCAATGGTGTTCTCTCTGATGTCTCGGAGTGGCGTCCCCATCTCTGAGTTCTCTTCTTGTGGGATGTTGTTCACGGTTTTGCTTATTGTTCGTCTTCTTTTCTTGTTTTGCCTGTTTGTTCTGGTTCCTGTTAGTGGTGTTAGTTGTAGGCCTTGGCGCCCATTTACTATATGAATGAAACTCTCATCTAGCAAATGCATACACACACGCGCGCGCGCGTGTGTGTATCTATGTATGTATGTGCACTTGTATTATATAAGCATTGACCACTACTAATTTGGGAATTTCAGTACTTTTGCTAACAAAAGAGCAAAAAAAAAAAAAAAAAAAATTTTGCTATTAGCAAGGGTTGGAATGATTTATTATTATGGATTGAAATGGATACGGTAAAATGTATTGTCGTTCATACGTCTACAGAGAAGGATATTATTTTGCTGATAGGTTGGCTAACCTTGATCCTTGTACCTTCCGTTTCATTGTGTTTATGCAGTCTCTAAAAACAATATGAGAATTCGCTATTATAGATTTTGTACTTGATTTCTTCTTTGATTGTCTTTATCTGTTTCTATCTCTCATATTTAGTTTTTTCCGAATAAAATCTACGCTCTTTGTGGAAGTCGTTCATTACAGAGAGAAAAGGACTAATAGCAAAGTTAATTGCTAATTTATAGAAATTTTTAATGAATGCATTAAATCTACGTCTTATCTCACATTCAACTAAAACGATCAGGAAGTGAGATTGTAGGCTTGACTTAGCGCCCCTAAAATAGAAATCCGACCGACATTAAAAAAAAAAAAGAAAAAGAAAGAAAGACAACTATTATCAGATGGACTCTGTCATTAATTATATTTGCTTGAATGTAAAACATTAATGTGAATAGTTTGAAATTTGTTATGGTCTATGGTCTTATACATTAAAGAAATGGATAAGAGATTGATTAATCCTTGGTTTCTATATATTGCATTTCCTTCAAATTGCTCGCTATAATTCACGGTTTTGCTCTTAACAGAAATCTGGAATTTAAAAAATGGAGGAAGAAAAGAAGTTGAGATCAATTCTTCTTTTTACCGAGCCAAAAATTCTTGTCAGAAAGTGTTTAAACAGGTTTTTTTTTTTTTTTTTTTTTTTGTTTTGTTTTGCTTTTTTTTTTTTTGTTTAATAATAGCTATAGATTTTTATAATAGGGTATGCACAAAATACACTATTGATAACATCTGTTTTAGATTCTTTTAGTTTTTTATATTTTTTTTTTATTTGGAGTGAGGTTAACAAAATTTAACATTAAGAAAATCACATAATTGAGAATGTTGGGTCCGTTTTTGGGTCAGTGTCACAAATGGTGTTACAACACTAGTTGTGACACTGATGACAGTAAAAGTGTAGACATATATGTTTTTCTTTTAATTCAGTTCCAGTGATTGTAAGTGCAATAAAATAACAGAAAGCATAAGAACACACGAAAATAGTATCGTAGTTCGGTGCGCACACATACTCTGCGGGGCCATGCCCAGACAGTGAACAATCTACTAAGATAAAGAGATTACAAACACCAATCGGTCTTACACACTCAAAGACTCCATCCTTGATGTTGTCGCCGCTGTGGAGAATCCTCTTAGTGGCCTTATCCAGTGAGCACTACTCGTCTTTGAAAACTTTCTCCCGAAAGTAATATGTTCTTCTCCCAAAGAACCACCTTTTGTTTTTTTCACTCAACAAGCATCAAAGCAGCCTTTTACTGCAGAATATTTCATTCAAAACCTCTCACATGAACTCAAAATATCTCTCCTGTTTTCAGCCCTGTGTCTACACAACACATTCTACTTTCCTGCACACTAATTCACACTTTTTCAAATCTCTAGATCACCAACCATAAATTGTCAACGATAACCACACCCAATAAAGGTAATATCTCATCCATTAATCACAAAATAAAGCCACCAGCCCCAATGACAGCAAGGAGACCATAATTCCCATGATTCTTTCCTTAGATGAACCAACCATAATGCTCCAGCGAAGGTCAACTAAGTAAAATGAGCAAATGCCTATTTTAGAATGCATTACAACCAATTTGTCAAAAATAAGCCAACACAAAATGCACTAACAATCTCCCCATTTGGCTATTTTTGGCAAAACTAACATTACTAACAAAAAGAACCTATTACAAGATAAAAGATAAGATCCAACTAAGGGGGTTAATTGAATTAAGAGTTCTCCCCCTTTTTGACAAAATGCAGCCAAAGTTAAAAATAATACTAATAGAAAAACCTTTTAGAAGCTGTTGTCGCAGAAATTGTTGCAACACCTGATATAACACTTTTCTGCATATCTTTTTTCAGGGTCATTGATCTCTGCAAAACGCTCCCCATGAGTCATCTACAAGTCTTACTCCCCCTTAATATAATATTCTTCCATGCATATTGTTTTTATCATCTATCAAAAGCTTGGAGTGACAATTACCACAATACTCAGAGTTAGTAGTACATGCTTTAAAAGAATTATAAGCCTCATGACACCTTAAATCACATTTCCTTACCCACACACGTCTATAAAATTTGTTTTGCAGATCAACCTTCATTTTAGGTGTCCTTCTTGTGAATGCAGAATTCGGTGGATTAATGATCATACCTCTTTTTAAAGCATTCAAGTATTTGTAACATGTAGGTCTAATGTGGCCAAGCAAATTACAATAGTGACATGTAGGAACAAACCTTCTTGATTTATGCTGAAGGCGTGAGATAACAACTTTCTTATGAGAGATAATTTGAGGCTCGGGTGCGGGTGTCTCCTTCACAAATATTGTCTTGAACATTGAGCATTCACTAGTATAACCAAGTCCATGACGATCACAATTTACTTTTCTTATGGAGAGAATATGATCCAATTTGGTAGTGACGGAATTCATCATCTTCAAATTTTTCCGAGTGCTCTTTAGTTCAGCCCTTGTTTCCTTCAATTTCTTTTCTCTTTCTACAGCAAGCAATTCATAATTATCAGCAGCTCTCTTCAACACATCATTCTCTCTGACAAGATCATCAATGTGCTCCCGTAGACATTTATTTATTTCACACACTTTAACTCATTTGCTGAACATGGTCTTATAGGATTCTTATATGGCATTAATAGTCAACTCCTCACCATCACTATTACTTTCAGAATCTGAAAAATCTCCGTTTTCACTGTTCACGGAATCTGTTACAGGTAGTGTTGCAACACTGTCTGCGACACCTTTTGTAACACTGTCTGTAGAAACACCTTGATCAGTATAAACATTGAAAGCAACATAGTTGCTCACATGTTCGTCATCTTCCTGACTGCCTTTTGACTCTTCATCACTCCAAGTTGTATTAAACGACTTCTTTTTCTTCTTGAGGGTATTGGCGCATTCAGATTGAATATGTCCATATCCGGCGCACTCTCAGTATTGAATACCTCTGTTATTTGTCTTCAATTATGTGTTATTTGCTGCAGATTTACTCTTTTGAAAGTTGCTGGAGTTGTCGTTTCTTAAATTCTCATTCTTCCTATTGACCTTCTTCATCACCTTGTTGAATTTCTTTGACAACCTTGTTATGGACTGGGCCAAGTCTTCTTCATCATCGAAATCAACTTCGGCTTGAAAGGCAATATTTTTCTCATTCTTTCCTTCATTGTTTTCATCAAGATTCATCTCAAAAGTGTGCAATGAACCCATTAGCTCATCAAGTTTCATTGTTTGGACATCATTGGCTTCCTCGATAGCTATCACTTTGTAAGCAAACCTTCAAGGGGGTGGCCTCAATGCCTTCCTTACCAGTTTCTCCTCAGGAATTTTCTCACCAAGTGCAAAAGCCTCATTAGCAATATCACATAACTTTGAATTGAAATCAGAAATTGTTTCATCTTCAAGCATGCGTAAGTTTTCAAACCTAGTAGTGAGAATTTGAAGCTTTGATAGTCTCACGGCTACCGTGCCCTCATGCGCCGTCTGTAGAATTTTCCAAGCCTCCTTAGCTGACTCACATGTAGAAATTAGTTTGAATTGATTGGCATCCACTCCATTGAAAATAGCATTCAAAGCTCTTGTGTTGTTATTGTCCAATCGATCTTCTTCCGTAGACCAATTTTCTTCGGGTTTCAATACTTCTTTTCCAACATCATCTTTGGTGATAGGGTGTGTCCAACCAGTTAGAACGGTACGCCACGCTTTCTCATCAATTGCTTTGATGAGCGCCTTCATACGAGCTTTCCAATAGGCATAGTTGGAACCATCGAGAAGAGGAGGGCGCGTTACTGAGCCACTTTTTTTCAAAAAATCCATCCCTGACAATACAGACCAAATCCCAAAACCTCACCAAACAATTGTTGGGTCCATTTTTCGGTCGGTGTCACAAATGGTGTTACAACACTGGTTGTGACACTAATGACAGTAAAAGTGTAGACAAATCTATTTTTCTTTTAATTCAGTTCCAGTGATTGCGAGTGCAATAAAATAACAGAAAGCATAAAGAACACACGAAAATGGTATCGCAGTTCGGTGCGCACACCTACTCTGTGGGGCCACGCTCAGACAGTGAACAATCTACTAAGATAAAGAGATTACAAACACCAATCGGTCTTACACACTCAAAGACTCCCTCCTTGATGTTGTCGTCGCTGTGGAGAATCCTCTTAGTGGCCTTGTCCTGCGAGCACCACTCATCTTTGAAAACTTTCTCCCGAAAGCAATACGTTCTTCTCCCGAAGAACCACCTTTTATTTTGTTCACTCAACGAGCATCAAAGCAGCCTTTTCTACAGAATATTTCATTCAAAACCTCTCACATGAACTCAAAATATCTCTCATGTTTTCAGCCACAGTGTCTACACAACACATTCTACCTTACTGCACACTAATTCACACTTTTTCAAATCTTTAGATCACCAACCATAAATTATCAACGATAACCACACCCAATAAAGGTAATATCTCATCCATTAATCACAAAATAAAGCCACTAGCCCCAATGACATCAAGGAAACCATAATTCTCATGATTTTTTCTTTAGATGAACCAACTATAATGCTCAAGCGAAGGTCAACCAAGTAAAATGAGTAAATGCCTATTTTAGAATGCATTACAATCAATTTGTCAAAAATAAGCCAATAAAAAATGCACTAACAGAGAAGTTGAGAGCTAATATTTGACTGATCGTAAAAATGAAAAGGTGATGAGACAGGACTCATATTTTGAATCCAAAATCCCAGGAAAGTGCATAGCCATCGATACAGAACATGTTTAACCATCAACGTCTTTGACCATTAATAGGCATATAAAGGCATCAAAGTTCTAACAAGTGTAAGTGCTTGTCGATTTTGCAGATAAAAGAAGCCCATCAAAGTTTACTTTTAACTCCATCCACTCAAATGTAACTTTCATGGCATGCAC